ACATCTAATCCTTCCAGTTTTCTCATTTGTTCTTCTCAACTGCTTTTCTAGTAGATAAAATTTCCAATCTTTTGAGGGTTTTTTCCTTTTCTCCCCAGGCTATCATCGGCTGCCCCACCCCCCTTCTATCCTTATACAGCCTAAGCCATCCCAATCAATACACTGTGAGGCACTGGAACCTCGCTTCACTTTGCCATTCAGTCACAAGATCATGCAAGCCCTCAACCCTTCCTAATCTCCTTAACAAATATTCCAAATATTTAACAATCTTCTCAGGCCACCCTCCCTTTCTACTTGTTCCTTCCCCTTTGTTTAGGGAGCATGTCTTGTTGAGACTGTCAAGTAGTTTCTCTTACCTAGATCCTTGGAGCTGACCTGTATCCAAGCCCTTCCCAAGTCTGTTTCTCTAACCTTCCCATAACCTCTGTGGTACACTGATATCCTTCTACATTACTTTTCTACTTAAGTTAATCAGAGCCCCTCTAGAGACTCTATGTTTCCACCCCAGACAACTGCTCCTGAACCCTGGACTCCAAACCAAACTGATAACCATGCACCTTTAGTGATCATGTCCCTCTTTTGTCAGGAACTCTTTATTAGCAGTCACCTCCTGGGATGAAGTTAATTTCAATTTCCTTAACATAGCACATGAGGCCCTCTGAAATCTAATTAAGTTCAGTGCATATTAAAGACACCAAATGGAGCAGCAAAGCCTGACTCAAAATAGTTCTCCCCATGACCATATTTTTGCTCTATAACCCTTTGCCATTGTTAATTGATCCATGGATAAACAGAACTGGGCCAAACAGATTCTCTCTCCCAGGAATCTGAAACTTGACAGGAGATCAGATTGGGAGTTATGAGAGATGGGACAGCACCCTAAAGCAGTGGTTCTCAACCAGGAGCAATTTTGCCTTCCAGGGGACATTTGGCAACGTCTGGAGACATTTTTTCATTGTCAAGACTGTGGGAGTGCTATTGGCATCTAGTGGGTAGAGACCAGAGATGCTGCTAAACATCCTACAACACACAGAGCAGCCCTTTACAACAAAGAATTGTCTTGTCCAAATGTCAATAGTGCTGAGGTTCAAGCACGCTTCCAATTAGGCCCTAGGAGTTGTCTAGTTCCAGATTCTGTAACCCACCCCAAGAACTTTCTGTTACATTTCCTTTTTCAGCCTAAGTTAAACAGAACAGGTTTTTGTTGTCTACAGACAATATAATCTTAACTGGCATAGTACCCTAGTTTAATAAACTGACATACATGTGTATACTTTAAACCAGTTTCTCAACCTCAAAACTGCTGACACATAGGCCAAAAAATTCTTTCTGTGGGGGACTGGGCTGTGTACTGTAGGATGTTTAGCAGCGTCCCTGGCCTCTACCCACTAGTCACCGCCCCACCCCCACGCCTGCCAAGTTGTGAGAATCAGAAATGTCTCCAGACATTGCCAAATGTCCCCTGAGGGGTAAAAACACCCATATTTGATAACTACTACTTAAAACTATACAAAGACTGTACCCAGGTGTGGTGTATGTCTGTCCTGCCAACCCCCCAGTAAACCTTGTGCCCAGCATAATATGCCTTGAGCCAAAGGAATAGTGGGGAGCATTTGTATCTAAATCTTCCCCACCCCTTTTCAGGTCCTGGCTTAAATGTACCCCATCTTTGAGCTTCTATTCCCCGCCTCTGCCTTTGCTGGAGCACACATGTACACATACCACAGTAACAGGTAATGAGGCCTTGAGCTGAAAGGTAGCTCCTGCTCTTCTTTCTTTTCTTACACTTGTTCTAACTTTTCTTTAGAAGTTTCCATTTCCTTCTGAAAAAAATACTCTCCTAGAGAAGCCTCCAAAACATATTTTATGCTGGTGATGGTATGAAAGATCAGGGTAAATTCTCCTTCAAAGGCTTTTCCTGTTTCACTTCTCTTAAAATGCAACTACTCCAACCCCCATATCCAACACACACACACACTAACTCTCCCTCTTCAGTACTGTTTTCATTAACAATGAAAGAGATGCCTGGAATACAAACTAAACAATTAGGCAGGGAACAAGTATATAGATTTACACTTCTCAAATAGTTCAGCATTTGCTTAAAGCATTTGTTAATCTCTTAAGAATAATTCCCCTTTCATACTTTTCCAATACACCAGTTTCTTAAGCCCCTATATCTAAGTAAACCTGGTTTTAACCTTACAATTTCACCATACTTCAGTCTCAAGGCTCAGAGTTAGCACTCTCTTTCTCCTGTTGCTTCCTAGATAGTCTTCCTTACTGGAAGACCCCTTATATAAAGGGTCATTTTCCTAGTCCTTCCTTTCCAGGACACTGGCACCACATTTATTCAATGATTCAATTGCCCATTATTCCCTAAAACCACAGGAAAATAGGTCATGCGCAATATCTTCAATAATATTGGTGGCTTATAGTCTTGCCTTAGTTAAAAAAAAACAGCAATGTGAGGGAGAGTCAGTTCATTGTTGTCATTCATGCATTCATTCAAAAAATAGTCGCTGAGTGCCTACGTTATTCTAGACTCCAAAAAACAAACAACAACAACAAAAATCCCTATCCTCATGGAATTTACATACAGTGGAGAAGACAAACGAACTGCAAATAAATAAGTATATATTATGACTGATGAGAATGAGCACTACAGAGAAGAGTATGGTTAGGTAAGGCCTCCGTTAAGAAGGTGCCATGAGTTCCATTCACTGGCCATAAGAAAGGTATTGGAAGGTAATATGTTCTAAGTATTTCCTATCAAACTGTGTTCCAGATGATTACATCAGTATAGTGACATCTTCATTACTGAATAACCTGTAAAATTAAGCTTGACCCAGGTAATTTCAAAAGTTCATTCCTATTTGAGTAACTATAATTTAGCCCAACATCCACCTTGTTTCTTCTACTGTCATCCTTTATGTTTATAAATAATTGTATTTTTCTTAGGAGATGACAAATGACAGCAACAGCAGTAAGATTAATATTTTAACCAAGAATATGAATTTGATGCTCTTCAGTTCATCTGACTTAAGGAAGTTTTGAAATGTGAAATAACTGAAAACTCAAGTGCTTCAAAAACTCATCTCAAAAAAATCATTGTTATTTACAACACAGCTATTGAAAATCATACAGATTAAAAAGTAATCCTCGAGAGTAGCACTGATATATATACACTACCAGATGTAAAAGAGATAGCTAGTGGGAAGCAGCCGCTAGCACAGGGAGATCAGCTCGGTGCTTTGGGACCACCTAGAGGGGTGGGATAGGGAGGGTGGGAGGGAGAAGCAAGAGGGAGGGGATATGGGGATATACGTATACGTATAGCTAATTCACTTTGTTATACAGCAGAAACCAACACACCACTGTAAAGCAATTATATTCCAATAAAGATGTTTAAAAAATAAAACAAACAAACAAACAAAATGTAATCCTCAAGGCTCAATTCTGAATGTGTCTGTTTTGTGAAGTTAGTCATTACCTTTACAACTAATTTTTAAGAGTCCTTCCAAACTGGAGTTCTACAAGGGAATTAAACTCTAATGCCCTAAGGCACTCAAAGACTGAATAAACTTTTCTCCTATGCATCTAGAATGGAACTAGCTAAGTACTATCATCCTAGGGAGAGTGAGAAAATAGAAATTCAAATCATTTTCTATAGGTCTGAATTTTCTTGTGGGAACTGAGTATGAGAAAGGCTGGAGGACATCTGATAAGTCAGATCTTACTTAAATCATAAAAAATAATAATAAAGATAAAATCTTCCAAAGTGAGATAATTAATTATTGGACTATACGGACAATTTTAAAAGAAACTTTCCAATTAGTGATAATGTTAAGAAATGTAGATCCATAAATGCTGCTATAATTTGTTACTTTAAAAAATATATCTTATTCAATGTTATAAGTGAGAAAAATATTTGCTGAATCACAGAAATAATGATTTTGTTCCCTAATATATAACCTGTGGTATACAACGATTTGGAAAATCAAGAATTGTCTGTACTACGAGAGTATATCATCACACCCAAGTGTTTTCCTAAAATCAGTTAAAATTAATCATTAACTTACAGACAAAAAACAGAGAAAAGGGTCATAACTAAGCAGTTTGAATTCGCTGTTAACAACTTGCAAACAAGATCCTACATTTAGCCTGTGTCTTGAGACAAATATGGAGAAGTCAGGGGCAGTAACAAACTGCCAGCTTTACTGAGTCATGATTCCGACTAAAACCGCGTTACGAAATGGAAAGAATGACAAGTCTTGGGTTTATTACCACAGATGTTGACTTCCTGAATTTATGGGTCTTAGATGAAAATAAAGCAAAAAAAAAAAAAACTGCTTTGTACGAATGATGTGGGGCTAAAACGACTCCAGAAAGAACTCGCCAAAGCTGGTAACTCTGATTATTTACCTAAAACAAATCCTAACTGTGCAAACAGGCACACCCTCTAATGCATCAGACTGGGAACGGCGAGGTAAGGTGAATTCAGAACAATAACAAGGTTAACATTTCAGTGAGAAAACAATTCTCAGCCCTAACAGTCCACACTGCGCCAGACGCCCTCGGTTAACGGAACCACTCAGCTCCGAATGGAGGCGAGCAGACACCGGGCACCTGGGTGACAAACCATCTGCAGCCTGCGCGCAGGACCGCCCGAGAGGGGTCCTCCAAACGCCCCCAGACGCCGTGTCGGCAACGATCCCAGTCCGCAGCCTCCTCCGGCAGCCCAACACGCTCCTCCGCGAGCCAGCCGGGAGAGAACCCGTCCGGGGGCGAACCCGTCAGGGGACTGACTCGTTAGGCCAGTCTTGGGCGCCGCAGGCGACGGGAGATCCGGGGCAGCGACCTCTGCCCGGACTGGAGCGGGGAGCCCGAGGGTCGCCTCCCGCTCGGCTGCCAGTCCCCGCCGCCCCCGAAGCCGCAGGTTGCCTCTGATAACCGACTAGGGAGGAAGCGGACTAGCGCCCACGGCCGAGGCTCTGACTGACCTGGAGAGGTGCTTCAGGATCTGTTTCTTGATGAGCCCAGCCATGGTGCCGAAGCGGGGGGCGCCGCGCTCTTTCTCCGTTCCTCACTGCCTCCTCTCTTCGTGGCCGTCTCCTCTTTGTCTGGTTTAACCCGGCCGGAGGAGAGGCGCGTGAGCACTCACGCCTGGGACAGACCTGAAGCCCCTGCCGAGGCCACATCCGCCACCGCGGCCGCCAAGGACAGGGAGCATTCCGCTCAGGTAGCCGCGGCCGCCGCTGGCGCCATCTTGGCTGCAGCATCACCTAAGAGATCTGGGGGAGGGCCGGAGCGGGGCGGGCTCGGAGCGGGGCGGGCTCGGGGTGGGGCGGGGCAACGCAGGCTCCGCACAGGCTCTTGCTGCCCCGCCTCCCTTGCTGGGACTAGTGCGCTAGTCGTCTGCTGCCCTGACACTGTTGGGTGCTTTGACTCCCAACCCCAGAAGCTTCTTGGGTTTTAGACCTCTGTCCCCACGCTCTAGTCATGTTCCCGTCTCCATCACTGAGTTCTTCATACACATCTTCTCTTTTTCATTTCCTTGTCAGAATTTGCTCCACAAACGGCTCTAATTGCTTTGCTTTCTTTACCTACTTAGCTTTCTTCATATTCTTGCCTCAGTGTCTTATCCTTTGCTTAGATATTCTGCTTTTCCCCCGGCTAAATGCTATAATTTGATGTTTCCTCTAGAAATTCTAAGAGAAGTAAAAGTTGATAATGTGTCTTAATAGAACCCAGGACCTGGGAATTAGAAGGCCTAAATTTAAGTCCTGGCTCTAGTATTTTCTAGCTGTGTTAAGCTGGAGAAAATAATTTACTTACTTTTAGCTTCAGTTTAATCTTCTATACAATAGATTAATAATATCAGCCTTACCCAACTCACAAGGTTGTTGTATCTAAAGAAATAAGGATTTAAAATTTCACTTAAAAATTTCCATGTGGGCTTCCCTGGTGGCGCAGTGGTTGAGAGTCCGCCTGCCGATGCAGGGGACACGGGTTTGTGCCCCGGTCCGGGAAGATCCCACATGCTGCGGAGCGGCTGGGCCCGTGAGCCATGGCCGCTGAGCCTGCGCGTCCAGAGCCTGTGCTCTGCAGCGGGAGAGGCCACAACAGTGAGAGGCCCGCGTATCGAAAAAAAAAAAAAATCTATGTAAAGGAAGGAAATTGTTGAAATAGCAGGGAGAACTATTACAGCTCTGCACCTTCACCCCACCCAGCCCCAAACCAACATTTTAGAGGTGAAAATGACCACCCAGTGACATCTAAAAGTGGGGGAGGGGAGAATAACACTACCTCTGAGGGATGTATCAGAAAATGCTGTGGGTGTCTATGGGGATGGCCAGGGGATAGTTTACACATATAGTCCAACACCTGACCCTTTTCAAGCAAGGGAAAGGAGATATATGTGGATTAACTGTTTACTCACTTAACATTTATAATGTACTATAAATGAGGCACTATTCAAGGAACTAGGTAGCCTAAACAAACAAAACCTGTTCCTGCCATCAAAGAGTTAACAGCCTTGGGGCTTCCCTGGTGGCGCGGTGGTTGGGAGTCCGCCTGCCGATGCAGGGGACACGGGTTCGTGCCCCGGTCTGGGAAGGTCCCACATGCCGTGGAGCGGCTGGGCCCGTGAGCCATGGCCGCTGAGCCTGCGCGTCCGGAGCCTGTGCTCCGCAACGGGAGAGGCCACAACGGTGAGAGGCCCGCGTACCGAAAAAAAAAAAAAAAAAAAAAAAAAAAAAAGAGTTAACAGCCTCAGAGGTAAGGTAAATTCCTAGTGCTAGGACCTTGAGCTCTATCATTAGACTCTTGTTCAAAGCCTTGCTCCACCATTTTGTAGCTGTGTAAACTTGGGCAAGCTATTTCACTCTCAGCCTCAGTTACCTCATCTATTGGAGATAATAGTACCTAACACAATTTTGTGAGGATTAAATGAGATTATGCATATATAGTGTTAAACAAAGTGCCTAGCATATATCAAGCTCTTAATAATGCTATTATTATCCTTAGCATAATTGAAAATAGAAGCAAAGTGCTATGAAAACATAAGGGATGGAGTGATTCTATCTTGTTTAGCCAGAGATGGATTTACAGTGGAGATATTATTTCAAAGGTGAGAATGTCATTTTAAAGTTAAACAGACTGGCCCTGAAGTCAGACTTGAATTGGAAACTTTGCTCTGTGGATTTTTAGCTATGTGGTTGTTGTGAGGATTAAGCTAATGAAGTTTAAGTACTTAGAGAATGCCAGACACAACTGTGGTTTAAATTTACATTTTTGTTAATTGCTATTTAATTCTCAAAGTATGATTTTCAAAAAGTTAAAAATGTGACTGTCATACAAATATATAATGAATGTGCATCAAAGATTTGTTAACTCATATTGGCAAGAACCAACAAGATAGGGTATAAAGTTAGTTCACTCATTAATGTGACTTAAATCTGTTGCACATGTTCATTATGTATTTATATCAGGGTGATATTTTTAACTTTTAAAATTACACATTCTCAAAATATACATGTATTTGAAAAGTAATAGTTACATGCTTGAGATTCTTTGTACTAAAACCTGGGAGGGGAGAGTGCATGGTGTGAAGGTGAATAGAGTCAGGGCTTTTACTGAACAGTCTGTGCTGAAACTGGCTTATACTGGCTCATGAGAACCAGTTGTGCACATCTCTTCCCAACTCTGTGTTCTGGTGTTTGGTGAGTTCAGGAAAGCTTGAAATCAGCCATTGTGACAGCATTTTCACCACAGAAAATGGTAAACACTACAAATCAGGACTTTTTTCTTGGAGATCCAGTTGTTAAACATTTACCAACACAGTGTAGGATGGGTTGAAGGGGGATGAGATTGCAAATGTATGGACATTATTTCATAGGCAGTGTCAAGTCTTGGGAGACTTCTATGGTGACTGAATTTGGGGAAGATGATCAGATTTCTGATTTAGAAAAATATTCTGATAACCATACTGGCAGTACAGAGGACAGATCATGAGAAGAGAATGGAGACAGGAGCCTTGAGAAGGCAGCAGCATTACTATTTTTGGTGAGACATAAGGCAGTATCAGTAAAGGTAAATAAACAAAAAAGGGTCAAGGACAAATTCCAGAGATTAATACAAGGATTGGAGTTGAAGTTTACTGAGGTTTTTAGTTTGGGGCACTAGGTAGATATTGGGGCACACCACTAATTGAGACAAGTAATATAGGTGAAAAAAGCAGTTTTGGAGATAAAATTGTTTTGGATTTTTTACCTTTAAGGTTATCTCAGGACCCCTGGATAGAAACATTCAGGTTGCAGTTGGGGGTAGAAATTCTTCTTTAGGATTTATTGGTATTCAATGATAGCTGAAGCCAAGAACAAAAATGATCTTGATCCAGGATCAGGTAAATATGAAGGAAAGTGAAAAGGGAAGCTTTTTGAAAGAGCCTATTTTAAAAGATGAGAGGTGAATAGAAATGATGGTTACTCTGTGATGTAAGACTGATAAAATATTTTTTACATGGGGCATCCTATCAATTTAATATTGTTAGAGAAAATAGAATGACTAAAATTGGACATAACTAACTTTGGACTTTCAATGACTTTTTGATACAAAGGAATATAGACACTGTAAGGCCAGCTGGCCCGGGTAAGAGGAAGCACCAGCCGGTTCGAGGAAGAGGAGGCGTTGAGGCAGAGGAGCATCTGGTTTGTGGCCACCCGAGCGACTTCCTCCATACGCCTGCGAAGGAACCTAAGAAAGCAGGGAGCAAGCATGAACAAGATACAGATGAGAATTAAGGGGCCTAAGATTGGTGTTAGCGAGGTATAGAGGGTGGATCGCCACCAATCGAGAATTAGGGAAGTGGACTGCTGTCGTTTGCATTGGAGTTCTTCCCTCAGGCGGTTGAGGGCATCCACGTTGTCCTCGAGGACCCCTGTCTCATTGATGTAATAACAGCATTCCTCCTGCAGGAAGAGGCAGGTACCCCCTTTGTCAGCCGTTAGGAGATCCAGGGCCCGTCGATTCTGTAAGGCCACTCGGCCCACCGAGGTGATTTGGCGCTGGAGGGAGGTGATGGAAGCGGCAGAAGCCTCTATGGCCAGTTGGAGTTTCTGTTCCAGGTCTCGGGATGTTGAGACGCTTTGTGTAAGGGCTCCTCCCTCGATGCCCACAGCAACGAGGGAGGAGGCAAGGGAAATGCCTGCGACCATGGGCAGAAAGATGGCCCTTTTCCGCCGAACAGAAAGCAGCATGGCTAGTGAGGAAAATTCGGCTTGGCTATATAATGTGAGCTGTGGAACAAGGGTGACGGGAATACATGGAAAAGGGAAGGAAGAGTTGATCTCCTTTGTAAGGGAGCCATTACACCAAAAGAACAGACCTGGTGGGGCCCTCACTGGCATAGTTACAGGGAAGGATGAGTTGCAAGGGAGTGCATCATCAGTTAAGTTTGGTTGACTGCCATAGCAAATTGTGAGGTTTTGTCTTTCTGAACCAGAGAAGATAGGGACTCTCAAAGGGGGAAAGGGCAGATGGTGGGAGGAATTAAAGGGGGTAGAGGTGAAGGGCTGATCGAGCAGGACAGCAGTTAAAGGAGGCCGAGTGAGGCACACAGAAAACAGTCAGAGATGTTGCCTATCTTGGTGTGATTAAGTATGTGTACCCCTTGGCGGATGAGGGCCAGCCATGAAAAAGGGTCCGTCTTGTGGTCAGGGTGGGATAATTGGCATTCTAGGGCCTGTTCCGTCTTTTGGATCTTGGTTGCCTGCTCGCTCAAGTGCTGGATGATTTCAGGGATCACTCTGACATATGAGCGGAAGACCCTGATGGATCCCACGGGGTAGGCATCAGTTGCCCACCGGTAAATCTTTCCCTGCACCCCTTTTACCCATCTTGTGTCCCAGGGATCTTTGATGTTGAGGAATAATTGACCCTTACCGTTAGAGGTGAGTAGGTAGGATTGCCGGAGCGAACTCCTGGTATCCAGTTTTGCCACGTGGATGTTACATGAGTGATAGGGGCACCCCCCCATAGGTCTCAGGCCACCACTGACAGTAGTCTCTGATCGTAAGTGAGGCAGACGGCAGGGGTGGACCAACCCAGGGGAGCTGGCCCGGGTAAGAGGAAGCACCAGGCAGTTCGAGGAAGAGGAGGCATTGAGGCAGAACGTTCTCACCTATTCTGAGAATCAACAGAGACTCTCCCCCGACTTCCTGCCCCAAGGACGGGGTGGGGGGGGGGGGACTCAAACCCCTGAAAGTAAGCCAGTCAACACCTAG